CTCAAACATTGGTGTTTCTCTTGTCTCATTTCACTCCGCAATATTTACATCGATCGTCACTGTAATCTGAATGTCTGACTAAAAAGCTTACGTGCTTAATTAACATATTATTATGCAAATTGCTTTATTTATTGCCTTTTTGTTTATCGTCATAATCGGGTGCTTCCCCTGGTGACACAAGCAAAGGTCAGCAATGTTTTTGGTGGTACTTGGAAAAGTGCTAAAATGATTTTCGTTTTCCTTAAAATACCAAGTAGAGCAACCGATCTAATATGGAGATAACACGAATGTTTACACTGTTATTCGTATCAAATTAATTAAATTTGTAAACAATACTTAATTAATCGTTTGACAGATATCTTTTAAAGCATGCGTATGTAGGTTAAGTTTCGTGTTTTTTAACACAGCGAGGCTAAAGGAAGAGGTTCCTTCCCTAGGCACGTATAACTCGTAACAAGTGTTGCACCATGACTGCTCCAAATGAACTTCGGTGCCTTTGAAATACTTTAACATTAAGAATGAGTTACCTACTACTAGATCACTTGTAACCCTTATTTTTGTAAGTAACAAATAACATAACATAACATCACGCCTTTCATCCCTTACACTGTCAAACACCGAGCGGTCACCGGTAACCGCAACCTATTGTTCTTTAACTCGTCGAGTACCGTACTCGTCGAGTATTTACTACTTTGTAGACACAATTATAGAACAATAGGTTGCGGTCACCGGTGACCGCTTGGTGTTTGACAGTTTAATTGTGTCTATAATGACGGTATTCAAGGAGTTAAGGGGTAGGCACAGGTGCACATTAAGGCACTTTTTGTCACTGTACAATGTAACACCCACTATCCACTATTTATTTATGTTATGAGTCACATGTAACATGCCAGACTCCGTGCTACTAGATACTGAGATTTTTTTTAAACCCAGTAATTCTTGGCCCGACTCGGGAATCGAACACGAGCCCCTTGGCCGGCAATCGCACTTGCAACCACTTGATCAACGAGGCAGTCATTATCATCAACATTTTATTTATTTAAACTGTCAAACACGAAGCGGTCACCGGTGACCGCAACCTATTGTTCTATAATTGTGTCTACAAAACCGGTACTCGACGAGTTAAAAATATATAGAAAAGCAATACACGTATAACATTACAGCTTTTTTTTTTTTTTATAATATTAAAGATTATTTCTCCACGGACTCTAGGTCCGTGCCCTTGTCATACAGTTTTTTAATTATAATACATCTAGTCAATATTTATAAAGTAAAGAGGGAACCTAGTTACATACTACAATTAACTACATCTATAATTATTAGCAAAAGTATAGGTTACATAATAATTAGGCACTATTTATTTATTTCTATTTCAAAGGCTTTATGAAACCAGCCCACCAACACGATGGGAGAGCCGACCTGACCCAGCAGAAGGCACCCGTTCACGAGTATGACGTGTGTGTCAGCAATTGGTCCGGTCAACCTTTTTATTGGGAACGGAACAACCCAACACACAGCGCCACCGACTGTAGGACATTTATGTGTGCATGACGCCTCAACCCTTGCCACATGGGCCGATTCCAATAAAGCGTACAATAGTCCAAAATTCAATTGGTCATATTCTATTTCTACATGTTTCTGCACACACATTTCCTCATGTTGCATTCGTTCCATCACAAGCAACACTCCCCGCCCAAGAGAGCACCCACGACTGCCGCGTCCCTGTGTTTGATGGCCATTTTCAGGTTGTAGTCCTTAATACCTTGCTCACCCTCATCAGCCGCCTTCCTGATTAGTTTGCTTATCGCGTCTTCACTGTTGTCTGTGTAATAGATGCAACCATGCGTGTGACGCGATATTGCTACTACCGCGTGTGGTACGCTGTCATGTATTTGATGTTTCTTTGTTGCTGTGTTGACAACAATCACATTCGCACACGAAAGTCCCTGTGCCTCGTGTATCGTGAGCACGCGTGATCCCACGGTCGACCCGTATCCCTGGTTCTTAAGGGATTCCTTCTCTGCCTGAGTGTGTACCAGGTATAAAGTGTCGGGGAGTGACTTTGGAATCATCGCCCCCGAGAACCTTTTTATCTCGAGGGATCTCACGAACGACCTGGACGAATATATGCCACTGTAAACTGTGCTGAGGGCATACGCCACATCCATTGGATTTCTGTGGGTACACATCAATTCCTGGCTTATGGGCGTGATATATGTAGGGCGGCTGTAGAGTAGAGGGAAGAGGTTATCACGATCTATAAACGGAAGCTGATTTATGTCACCAATTAGAAGGACTTCCTTGGCTCGAGTTATTCGGGCGGCCATCACAACGGCTCCAAAGTGGTTCATGAGAGCCTCATCTACCATTAGGCGATGGCAGCTCTCTCGCTCCCCCAAGCCGTTTACTAGGATGGACGCCATTGTTCGAACCCTAGACATATAACATTACAGCTTACGCCATTAAGTTTTACAGTATACATACTATACATGTCGCCTTCAGACCAGTATAAATGGGATCAACAAGGGCCGATGCCCGATATGCTGTGGGTCAAGCCCAATCGGAGCATTCGCAGCAGGAGTAGAAACAGGGGCGTACGGAGTCAACCGAAGATTTTTACCCCTCATAATTTTTTTTGAAATTTATTGTATTTATAATATTAGTAAATATCACCTCTTTGAGTACCGTCATTATAGACACAATCAAAGAACAATAGGTTGCGGTCACCGGTGACCGCGTGGTGTTTGACAGTCAGTACGTATAAAGTAAATTGTACAAATTGCTCGTGGGTTGTGGTCTCGAGGAGGAAAGAGGTGATCTTGATTCATCTAGCTAGATCTTGGAGAAACCGGTAACCACAACAAAGAGTTGCTCAGACGTTGAGGAAGTCTGGTTAGGTAAACTAACTTTATTTGTTAAATTAATACCCGGCACCCGGCTTCGCTCATGGGGACATCTACGTTAATGATAAACTGCATGATTGGCGCAGTGCCGAGCAACTGGTCGATGTTCAACGTGTCAGGACTTTGATTCCTGCACGGAACAATTCATTGGGGAATAAATAGTTTTAGGTACTGTTACGTCCCAAATGATAAATTTACCTGTGTCATGAATGAGTGCATTGTAGTACAGTGTATAGTGTAAATTTTACATATATACAAATTCGCATTTACATTGTAAATGCACATCACACTCAAACCCGGAACAACAGCTAGTAGATCATACAAAGATTTGTTCCGCGCGGGAGTCGTACTCGCTGCATTAATCGTAATGCTTGCTTAGTGTTGCGCATGCGCAGCTACTGTTTGCCCAGTCACTGCGCCAACCGTTGCAATTTTCCATGCATAGTTGCATATAATTTTATTCACATGTCAAGGTTTATTATAATACTGCAAGTACGATGACAAAGTGAATTGTTTAAAATATTAAAATGCCTTATCTTAATTCTTTTTGTAATGTAGAAATAGTATAAGTACTTAACACTGACTGCCTCGTTGGTCAAGTGGTCGCAAGTGCGACTACCGAGTAAGCGGTCTCAAAGTATAACTGGGTTTTAAAAAAAAGTCAGTAGTAGCACGGGGTCTGGAATTGTGCCCGGTATATGGGAATAGGCTCACCCCCTATTACATGGTATGGGACTCATAACATAAATAGTGAAAAGTGGGTGTTTAATGGTACAGTGGCATTAAGTGCCGTAATGTGCACCTCTGCCCACCCTTCGAGGATAAAAAGGCGTGATGTTTTATGTATGTATATATATTATATTAATGAACCTTCCGATTAACGTCATTCACCTGTGCCTTCCACGATACGTTTTTGGCACTATATGTGAATGGAATCGCTGTGCCATTCAAACATTATGTATGAGTATGACGTAACATCAAACACCAATAAAAACTTTTTAAAGTAAATCATCCTATGACTCCTCCCGTCTTCCTTTATAAGGGGTGAACTTTCACTTTTTGCACTCCGTACTCCGGGTGTCGTATCGGAGACGCATTCCACCACCACAGTTCAGTAAGACTGACACTCCCCCATTTCTCTTCCAGGACGGGAGGAAACATTTGATGATTTTAGCCCCTCTGGAAAGGGACTAAAATCAACTTTTATGTCAACAAAACTTAATTTTTTAATACATTAGTTACCTACTTACTTCGACTTAAACTTAAAGCTATGTTAAAAGCCAACATCGCTTAGGTACCCTTTTATTCGATAACAAAGTAATTCCTTTAATATTTTTTCTGCATCGCTCATTGAAACCACAAACCATAAACAGAATCAGTCGAGGAAAAGTAATTATTTCTAAAATTGTCCTGTTCAGGTAACTGCCTACACATAATAAAAATTAAACAAACAACTGGTTAGTAGCATATCTAAGACTAGACTTAGAGTATATATACGTAGCGACATTGTTGAAGCTTCACAGTTCACACATATTCGTCTACCTGCAACCGTCTCTCGACATCAAGTACTCCAGTACAATGGCTGCTCTCAAGACCACCCTCGTCCTGCTCCTCATTGCCTTCGCCATGTTGGCCTCCGTCGGCGCCGTCCGTGTGGGCCCCTGCGACCAGGTCTGCTCCCGCATCGACGCTGAGAAGGACGAGTGCTGCAGAGCTCACGGACACAGAGGGTACAGCAGCTGCCGAGGCGGTAGAATGGAATGTTACTGATTATGGCACCAACTCTACATAACTCAGTTATCAGTGGAGCCCTTTCATAAATACCCTAAACCTTTCTGTTTAGGCAACTTCAATAGTTTTGGCAAGAACTCTTTGTATTAATTGAAAATAATGGTCATCTTTTATTTCTCATTCACTGTTCACACACAAAATTGTAAATATTAATTATTATTATTATAAATAAATTTTACTGTACCTATTACCTATATGTCTTTTATTTTTAGCAGTTGGTAACGTACCTATTTATATTTTGTTACTACTAAATGCTACTAAGCTAATGGTCGCAAATTGTGGGTACCTTTAGGTCTGAAGCACGAACATGGCGGTGGGCCTAAATTAATTTTCCGATTCGGTTTGATTTTGAAAACCAACCTTATTCACTCCTACAATAAAAGAACTTAAAATCTTAATTTGAAAACATCTGTCAAATTCACTTCGGGCACGGATTGATCTTTGAGATTGACAACGTCAGTCAACCAACACATCAAAAAAAAGCAATAAAAATGGACAAGAATACTTAAATCACTTAAAAATCATGTCTAAAACAAACATGTAATTCCATAAGCAACAGTCTTATGTAAATCTCCCAACGGCTAGCTATCACCATGGGGAAATATTTGGGAATGGATCACCCAACCGCCAGCTTCCCCTATACAATACCTAAGAGGCTGAATGCTCTAAGCAGGCCACGAAAAGGTTTCATTGAAGCCTCGGATGGACCTGGCTACACACAATCTGGGATCAGAAAATCCGCCTTAAATGGACAACCTTCCGATAGAATTAATGATATCGCATGGCCATGGCTCAGGTAAGTTCATATAAAACTAGAAACATTTACTTTCATTACTATGTTCATGTTTCTGTGTCAAATACTGAAAAACAAAGTATACTGAGTTACTCATAGAATTAATATCTGTTTGTAATAACCTCACTCACTCCCATCTATTGTTCCAGGCGTTTGATGCTAGTCAAAAAGATGTACAGAAACAAATTCGATCAAGAACGTCTGGAAAAACTTGACCGAATGATTGAGGCGAGTAATGCGACCCTCTACTCAAAGTTAGCCAACTGTACCGTAGACCTAAAGAAGCCGCAGGAAGGTAAAGAAATAAAGAAGAAAAAAGGATGGTCTGAGAGTGATTGGAAGAAACACGTGGATTATCTTGCAATGGTTGCTGCACCTAAAAGAGAGTTCCCACCACCGCCTGTAAAGGTTAGTCATAAATAATAGCTAGGTATCTTATATAATAACTATTGCGAAGATTTGAATGATCATCCAGTGTCAAAACTGATGAGCGGTACGGCCGAAATATTGTTAATTTCCTGTATTTTGAATTTTAAGTAGTGATACGTAGAAATTAGTCGGGAATTAAACTCGAAGACCTTTCATAATTTGATAGTATTCGATGATTCTACAGTCTGATCCCTTTTCTAAACGCTGGCTAACCTAACCAGTAATCTAAGGGGTCCCCGACTCTCTATAAATATTGTAGATCACAGTTTATTCGTCCTCTCTGATCCACAATGTCAACTTTGCAGCGTGGCAAGTCCGTGCCCCTTGAAGCCCTGTTGCCAAGGATCAAAGAGATATCGTCTCCGGCTGATTTCAAATGCTACAGGAGACAGTCGAAGGAAGTGTGGTACAAGGATCCAATTAAGGTAAATATTTTCTACACTATCATATTGATCTCACAAAGATTGTTTTCTTGCGGGAGTCGGACCACGCTGTAAATATTTTTTTCTAGGATCATAAATAAACCTCTATATTCTTTCTATACCAGGTACAACCCGCTGCCCTGAAGTACCAAATCACAGATCGAACTAAGAAGCTAGCCGCTCCGAGGAGTTTACATGATGGCTGAAAAGCATCACTAGTGAATACCTACTGTCATTTTCATCAACCTACCGTATCAATCGTACACGTGTGAATACTGCTAAAGTGAAGTGAAGTTATTGACTAGGAACGAAGCATCTGTATAACTTGTCTATCCATAACCAAACCAAACAATATTCTCATAGATAAACATGCTTCAAACTACAAAAGCATTTAATTTTTGTTAGCATGCTACGGAAATCGGATTTGACGAAGCTAGTCTTCATAAACATCAATGTTTTCACGTTGAAGATAAGTCGAAAATAAAGACTATTCAGTACACACCAAAGTAATCTGGTAGGCTAATTGGTTTTCTACCCAATTTCGACATGTCTAAAGTTGATATTTACAAAGCAGCTCCAGCCTTCGTTAGATCTTCGCAGGCTTGGTCTGAATATAATTAGTATACTAAGTAGAAGTTGTGTGAGATCAATATATATTTTAAGACGAAAGTTTTTTAAGAACAGTTCTGTTGTTTTATTTGATTTTTTGATGCAGAATGCAGAGATTAAAGCTGAATTGCATCCAATTTAATACATTATCTTAACAATTGCCTAATTGTTAAATCTATAGGAAATATCTTGGAACATAATCACACAACTTACCTATTATTTGATTCTATGATTAACTCGACCCGTTGATTAGTTCGACACAGAACCAGCAGTCTAGCACCTTACCTTACCTACCATCTACATAATATGTCCACTTGTCCAACAGACAAGTGTGACTTCGTACCACCTTCGTACCAACAATCCAACAATCATGTTGATTTCCAAAGCGGTCTCCTTGTTCTCCATACAGAAAACAAAAAATTCACGTTCAAAGTGTCAAAGAGTATATTAAGTATAGGGGTTCAAAGTGTCTTTGCCAAAGATGCTGTCACGACACATCAATGTCAAAAACACTACAAAATGGATAGCAAGGCCACATAAACGAAATAATAATATTATCATTAAAACAATCATGTAACATTAGAATTATAGCAGTGACAACCATCAACCAACTACAACTGGGTAACTCTCTTAACAGTTAGCAAAATGGGTACTAAATATGAAATGCCACACTCCTCGTTTCCTTATAAAATACCGAGGCGAATTCAGTGTCTTAGCGTACCGAGGAGGTATTACATGGAAAGCTACGAAGGATCAATGCCGCAGTACACGAGGACAGGCACAAGGCAATCTGCTTTGACCGGGCGACTTGCTGACAAAAGTGCCGACATTGCTTGGCCGTCTATTAGGTAGGTAAGGCTTTTGAGTTTGTTTATTTATAACAGAGCAGGGTCTAATCTAGTCATCTTGAAAATGTGTGTCAAGTTTTGAACGCATATTTACTTTATTCTCTGAAAAAATAAAAAACATACGGCGCATTGCGTTTGGCGCGTGTCTCAAAAAGCCATCAGACCACCATAGATGAGGCTCAGTACCAACAGCTGGACCCTGGAGCTGCGGAAAACCTAACGGGTTACCGGGGTTCCGACTCGAAGCAGAAATACGACCGGGGTGGTTTTTTTAGTCAATAATTGTCTGTGTCACCCAAAGCGGAAGAAATCATTAGATGATTTTACCCCACAAAAAATATTCAATTTGTTTTTTTAAGATATTAATATCTACCACATATTTGACATGATAAGCCAAGGCTGTCCAGAAACTTGTCTGCTGCTTATTGATTAGCGAATTCTTATACGTGTTGTGCATCTAAGTACCTAAGAACTTGTCGCAGAGAACCTAACGGGTTATCGGGGCCCCGACTCGAAGCGCAGGAAAAGGGACGGGGTGGTTTTTTTTAGTCAGTAAGAGTCTGACGCTCCCTCCCACCTCACCCAGGTGGGAGCAGAAATTCGATGATTTTCCCACCTTAAAAGAAAGTACCTAAGAACCTATTTATTTACACATCTGTAACCTGTCACGTCACTGTCCCACTGCGGAACAATAGCCTCTCCTCACACGGAAACGGTTTGAGCACTAATAACCAGACTTACTCAAGATGGATTTGCGATTTCAAAGTTATAGTCAGAAATTATTCATCTAGGTTTCCTCACGGTGCTGCTTTCCTTCAGTGTTTGCCAGTGGCGTTTGACCTATATTAATTTATAAAATAAAAATACAGTGTTATTATTTCACGTTTTTTTAATAATTCAGTAATTAACTATTTAAATATACTGAGAAAAGCTGTAATAGTTTCGAGTCACAGAGAGACTCCACCTGATGAGCAGCGTGGTCGTGGCGATGTAGGCTGCGTGATATTTCATGTACTTATGTAAACAAAACAACCCGTTTAATACAAAATTATATTTTCTAGACGTTTATTAATCTTGAAAAGGATGTACAAAAATAGATTCAGTTCAGAGCGACTGGAACGTATAGACAGAATGATTGAAGCGTCCAATGGCACGGTTTACTCGAAGCTGGCTAATTGTACGATAGACCTTAAGAAAATGGATGGCAGGGATTTGAAAAAGAAGAAAGGTTGGACCGATACAGAGTGGAAAAGGAAAATGGAATACATTTCACAAATCGCTGAACCTAAAAAGGTGTTTGAGCCACCACCGGTAAAGGTAAGACTCTATTTTATTATCCATCTCATTTTATGTAAGTCGTATTCTTTAAATATTATTTAAATCTTTAGTATCAAGTAATTATGGCCTAAATAAAATAAATAGCTATGGATAAAAACATAAGATACAAATTTCGTGTAATCTATGAGTTATCAATATGGCGCCAAAGCTACACTAGCGCCAAATCCAATGGTTTAGCGTTTATCAGATCCTTACAGCATTCAAGACAGATAAATTGCTTACCTAAGTAAATAAGAGACGATAGCTTTATGTACATTAACTCGTTGAGTACCGTCATTATAGACACAATTAAAGAACAATAGGTTGCGGTCACCGGTGTCCTCGCGGTGTTTGGCAGTTTAAGCTGGGTACTCACTTAGCAGTGTAGCACGTGAGTACGTAGGCACGAGCCCACTGCGAGCCGCTCGCGCGTGAAGCGCTGTATACACACACAAAGGCGGCTCGCAGTGCGCTCGAGGGCGGCGTCACGACCGCTTGTATAGTGAGGACCGGACCGCGAATAATTCCGTTAATAATTTATTTCAAATTATTCGTAAACAGTGGTCAACTGGAGTGAACTGCGAAGGAATGTGTTTATACTAAAATTGAACTATTACAGCGAGGTAAAAGTATGCCATTGGAAGCTCTGATGCCGAGGATTGAGGAAATGAGCGTACCGCCCAGCTCCAAATGCTACAAGAGAATGTCGCAAGAAGCCTGGTATAGGAACCCATTGAAGGTATACAACGCCATCTCGTATTTCAAAGTCAAAATCATTTATTTCAATTGGAAGGACTTTTGAACGTTTTTATCTATTTCCCGAAGAGATAAGTACTAGTCACATATTATTGCGTTGCATATACCACATAGGTACACAGTGTAACCCACTTTATATCAGTGTCACTTTACTTTATACCAGAGAGCCTAGTGCAAATTCGTTTTGCGATCGACGCTTGCTTGACGTTCGGAGCTCCTATTGGCCGGCTCCAATTTACCAACCAATCAGAGAGCTCAACGTGATAACATTTTGATAGCGTTAACGTAAAAATAACTCACACTCGGTACCCAGTCCTGTAACCTGACCCATACGTACTATTCTTCAATTGCTAACATTAAGATAATAATAACATAACATAAAATCACGCCTTTTATCCCCGAAGGGGTAAGCAGAGGTGCACATTACGGCACTTAATGCCACTGTACAATAGAGGTAT